CTTTAGGCCTGGGGAAATGGACCTTTGAGGGGCTGAAGGCGGTAGCCGGACAGGGCTCTGCTGCCAGTCACGGTCGGTTTTCCTTGGTGGATGTGCAGATGAGCCTCCCTCACATGACCAAAAGGCGTTTGTGACGTTAAGATATACTAGTGTAGGAAATGCTCTGATGTAGAAAAAAACAACAGTGCCGTTGGTTCTGCTCTCCCCTGCTCAAGAACAGTCCCTGTTATCTACTTTTATCAGTTTATAAAGGAGATCATAATTACTACTTCATTCCCAATTATCTCATAGATAAACACTAGGGATAGATCTGTATGGAGAAGGTATAATTCCTGCCTGGCACCACCCCCCCCCCAAAAAAAACAACCCCCTGACCTTTAAACTGTCATTTCTGCTGACATTGTTTAATATCTTTGTAGTAGAACTCACTTGGGAAGGTCTGCTGTTATTTGTCCCAAACTCCTACAGCACATTTCATAGAGTCATAGAATCATGCAATGGTTTGGGTTGGAAGGGACCTTAAAGACCATCTAGTTCCAACCCCCTGCCATGGGCAGGGACACCTTCCACTAGACCAGGTTGTTCCAAGCCTCATCCAGCCTGGCCTTGGACACTTCCAGGGATGGGGCATCCACAGCTTCTCTGGGCAACCTGTCCCAGTGCCTCCCCACCCTCTGCGGGAAGAACTTCTTCCTGATATCCAATCTAACCCTCCCCACTTTCAATTTAACCCGTTACCCCTTGTCCTGTCACTACAGGCCCTTGTAAAAAGTCCCCCCCAGCTTGCTTGTAGCCCCTTCAGGCACTGGAAGGTGCTATAAGGGCTCCCCGGAGCCTTCCCTTCTCCAGACTGAACACCCCAACTCTCCCAGCCTGTCCCCATGGCAGAGGGGCTCCAGCCCTCGGAGCATCTCCGTGGTCTCCTCTGGACTCGCTCCAACCGGTCTATGTCCTTCCAATGTTGTTAGCATCACTCCAACCAGTCTATATTCTTCCAATTTGTCAGCAGCCTTCCCTAAAATACGCCTTATCCTTTATGTAGAGGCATTAAACAGTCCGGTGGAGCAATGAGCAGATGGGCTGAGAAGACTCAGTGCTTCACCATCCCTAAATACCAGGCAAGGTCAGAAGTCATAATCCCATTCAGCCTCCAAGCGAGGAGGCCAGATTTAGTGTACCTGAACTGTAACTGATGCGGTAACAGGAAGGGGCACCGTCGCTCAGTAGGTCCCCGGCAGAATCCCTCCTGTGCACAGACTCCCTGACCACTTGTGCAGAGCATGGAATATAAGACGGTTGTGGGTTGTTTCATATTTTTCCCGCAGCAGCACAAAACTTGTTGGTGTTCCTACAGTGAGCCTCTCAATCCCTTTCACACTGGCTTAAGTATAAGCTGAAGCTCAATTAGAAAAAAACCCGAAGAAAAAGGTTTTAAGTCTGCTTCTGAACAATTTTAGCAAGATTTCTCTCCTCTCTCCCTGGTGGCACCTGTGCTCTTCACACAGACTATCGCCTCTCACCGTCGCCTATCCGGGGAGGATTAGGGTAGAGGCAGCTCTGGCACGCTCTGATTTGTGTTTCAGATCACAATTTTGACTAGCCACTCCAGCAAAGAAATGGTAAAGCAGCTGGAAAAGAAGTTAAAAGACGTAGACCTCGTAAGTCTGCGAAGAATACAAGTCATCGAGGTTTTGAAGAGAGACTTTCTGGAGCCTGAGGACGTGGAGCAGTGCATGCCGGCCGAAGAGTCCGGCAGCGGTGGTGAGTGCAAGACGGACGGGCTCCGGGGGGAAGTTAGGGCTTTGGGCAGCAGGACAACTCCTAGTTCTTGCTTCGGTCTGATACACGCCAGTTTGCCTCTCTCACATAGGTGGGAATACAGTGCCTGGATGAAGAGCATGAAGTCTGTACCACAGCGCTTCTCCGGGGCTTTATCACATTTGGGCAATCCTAGCATGCAAGACTTCATGCATTACTGCATCTCCTGGTATTCCCTAAAATTGCCTTCGTGGGCAATACAGCTTTATTGAGGGATTAAAGGGAAAAATGCATGGCGTGTAGGGGGGTGACAGACTCTCAGACACACAGTTGCTCACCCTGGACTCACCCTGGGCAGTTGAGCACAAGGTGCTTGGTGCAGGCAGAGACAGTCGGAATCCTTGAAGCAGGAAGTCAGGAGAGAGACGCGGCAGAAGGAAGGGAAGGAAAAGCAGGCACACCATTTACAGTTTCAGCGATCCTAAAGATAACCTCCTCCTCGCCCTCACCAACTCAAGATCTCGTCCTTTTACAAGATGGTTGGGTTTTAGACAATTCTTAGCCTTTAGTCCTTTCCCCCAGACTACATATTGCATAGTGCTGGGAAGAGTTATATTCCCAGACCAAGTCAAATACCTATGGTGTTGAACAGCAGTTTTTTTGTAACTGATACTGTTACTGCTTAGCTGCTGGTTCTTTTCTCTACGTTTAGGGCAGTTTTTCCTTGAACTCTTAAGATTGTACATCTCCAGCAACCAGTAATTGCACATCAATAAGCTCTTTGTAGCCCTACAACCTTCGTCTTCCAATCCAGCCCTCCCTTCCACAAGCCTTTGCCACTGACGCTTAAAACGCCCCATCAACAACACCCACCTGGTACCGAGCTCTGGCTCACACAGTGAGTTCTCACGACGAGTTGATGACGAACTTAAAAACCTGAGTCCTGACTTAAAAAACGGCCTTGCAAAGTTAGCATAAGACCCGTTACTGGTGATGACAACATTGGTCTTACTGCATGACAGGCAACATGGGATATTGCTGCCTTACTTGCCCTTCTTCTCTGGCTGCAATAGCAAATTTCTGGTTAATTGGCGGAGTAGGGGCTGGGAATGTTTAGGTGGATCACAGATTCCCTTGTGCCCTGTCCCTCACACACCCAGCCACATTCTTCCTTAGTAAAAGAGCGAGTACACCCCAGACCCTGTATGTTATTTTTCCTGGCCGTACCTCTGAAGAACTCCTCCCTTAATCTAACAGTTTTCAGCAGTGAGAATTTAAGCTACGGCAATGAGAAATTCAGAAACAGAAATTCCTGGTAGCTCCCATTTTGAGCCTTTCTGTTTGAAAGCGAAAGCAGGCTCC